TCATTCAGCAAATCCCTCCCCTCTTTATATATCCTAATCATTAATCATAAAATATTGTAATTTTAGATTTTTACATATTAATAAACTATTTTTTCATATTCCCTTGTAACCTTTCAGCTAAAGACCACTTAGTTTCTATCCAACATCATTCTAACATTCATTAATTTTACAATATTTCTGTAGATAGTCTGTAGAAGCTTTCACCGGTCTAGACAATCAGTTTCATACAGGAACACCTGGGCACTTAATGTACATCCCCCCCCCCGCATGGCAGGAGCAGCTCCTTCACACAGGCATGGTCAAGGGTGAGATCAAATATTTAGATAAAATACTGAGTCACCCTTTCCTTAGCTCCCCACTCAGTTCCCATCTCTCAGCAGCCAGCTTCCTTCCAAGCAATCAGGCTTGGCTTTCCACTAAGGGTTGGCAACACAGGTACCCACCTTCACAGTCTCTCTAAGCGCTCTCTCTCTCTCTCTCTCTCTCTCTCTCTCTCTGGCAGCAGGATTGCAAGGAAGTGGCTTAGGACTCTTGCATGGACGCACCTTGGCCTCAATTTGCACAGGTGTGAAAGAGGTGTGAAATATACTCGGAGTCGAGTGTGGATTTCATGTTCTTTATTCAGCTCATAGTAGTGAGGGATGAAAGTTCCCCCCAAATATCTGCTTTATATACATTATTTACCGTACACAATGGGCCGCACGTGATTGGCTAATTCTGGGATTCTCCTGTAGGCCAATCAGGTTGCGGAATCACTTCCACCTGGAGCTGGATTGGGTGGCTCCTGCAGACCAATCATACTGCTGCATTGTTCAAGGACCAATCAGACTGCTGCATTCTGGACCCTATTGTTCTAGGACCAATCAGGCTGCTGTATTCTGAATCCTATTGTTCTAGGACCAATCAGACTGCTGCTTTTTGGATCCTATTCAACACAGTACATAACAAGGTGGCATGTTTGCGCTCACTTGGGGGACTTGCTCACCTTGTGGGAAGGTCGGGATTGCAAACCTGTGCTCCTTTAAGGCCACGTGGGTCTGCTGCTCCTACCTGCAAAGGCACTCCTAACCACAGAGGGCACTTCCCTCCCAAGGTGCCTGGTTCTAAGCAACATAACAAGAGCCAGATGGATCAGGCCAATGACCCATCTAGTCCAGCATCTTCTTCTCACAGCCGCAAATCAGATGCCCCAATGGGAAATCTGCAAACAGGACAAAAACACAAGAGCATTCTTCCCTCTTGTGCTTTCCAGCAAGTGATATTCAGAAGCATTACTGCATCCAACTGAAGAGGCAAAGCGTAGCCATCCTGGTAAGTAGCCATTGATGGCCTTCTCCTCCAGGAATTTGTCCAATCATTTTACGATACGATAATCTTTATTGTCATTGTCCCATACAGAACAACAAAACTGAAACCAACAAGCCTGCTATCCCAGCCTGGTTAGCCCCCTAAAAACTCTGATACCCCATAATTAAATACAATATACTCCCATAGAGACTACCTTACACTGCGTTTAAAACCAAGATCGCATTTGAATAGAAACTGTTTCTCAGGCGGATAGTCCTAGTTTTTATAACCCTGCACCTTCTTCCAGAAGGCAAAGCTGAAAGAGATCATTTCTGGGGTGCGCACTATACTGCACTATCTCTGCAGCTTTCTTATGGCACCTGGAAGCATAGATTTGATCCAAGGTGGGAAGAGTGCACCCAATTATTCTCTCTGCTGTCTTTACAACCCTGGACAGCATTGTTTTTCCCCTGACCGTGCAGCTCCCAAGCCACACACACAGACCATAAGTTAATACACTCTCCACAGTAACAATGGTAAAATGCCATCAACGGGTCCTTTGAGAGATTATTTCTCTGGGGGAAAATATAACCTCTGCTGTGCTCTCTCTTTCAGGTCTTCTAAAACTATCTAAGTTGTTGGCCATCACTGTCGCCTGAGGAAGTGAGTTCCGCAGTTTACCTACACACTGTGTGAAGGACTTTTATCTGTCCTGACTCAGCTTCATTCTAGTGTTATGAGAGAGGGAGGAAAAGCTTTTTCTACCCAGTCCCTCCATTCCAGTGGTTCTCAAACTATTTTTTTCTCTGGGCCACACTTTCAGAATAAAAATTTGCTCGTGCTGACAGATTTTTTTTAAAAAAATTGTTATGAAATACATTGGAAAACAAAAAGAAACAGCTAGCAGTGCTTGATTTATAACACAGAGCACAATTACTTTATAATACAGTCATGGGACGTCTGGAAAGTATACAAGAACGAAGAATGTGAATCATTCCCAAAATATAATTATAAACGAGCCTCTTACACATGTACCTTAAGTATGTATACAAACTCAGTGAGAGGTGTGAGTTTGCTTTCGCCGGCTCAATCTCATTTATATTAGGTCTAATTTGAGACAAACAAGCTCTCATCTCCTCATCAACACAAAGAAGCCTTTCTCTTTCCTGATCTTTCATACTGACAGAGTTGAAAATCCCTGTTGTCAACAATATGTCATGGAGAGCTGTAGAAGAGAAGCCAGTGCTCTTGAATAGAGGCATAGACACTGTTTTGGGGTGTATATCCCCCCAAAATATTTTGATACTACAGTGGTACCTCGGGTTACATACGCTTCAGGTTACAGATTCCGCTAACCCAGAAATAGTACCTCAGGTTAAGAACTTTGCTTCAGGATGAGAACAGAAATCGTGCTCCGGCGGCGCGGTGGCAGCGGGAGGCCCCATTAGCTAAAGTGGTGCTTCAGGTTAAGAACAGTTTCAGGTTAAGAACAGACCTCTGGAACGAATTAAGTACTTAACCTGAGGTACCACTGTAATACTGTACTGTACGGAAATGTTTAAAAATGTATTTGATTGTCCGTGAATCTTCCTGCCACACCAGCAGGGGCGGAGGACAGGGGGGCTGTGGGGGCAGTCTGCCCCGTGTGTCACCACTAAGGGAAGGTGGTGACAAAATGGTGGGCGGCACTCACCGCGGTGCCTGCAGTGGCTTGGGTGCCCACAGGCTCTGCTCTGCCTCAAACAGTCCACCCACGGCCTCCCCCTCAGCTGTAGGGTGGCTGAGCGGGAGGAGGCAGGCAGACTCCTCGGAGGCGCCAAACCCTTTGAGAACCTCTTCTCTTTGCCATGCTTTGAAGGTGACCCAGAAACTACAACTAATCCAGAATGCGGCAGCTAGACTGGTGACTGGGGGCGGCTGCCGAGACCACATAACACTGGTCTTGAAAGACCTACATTGGCTCCCAGTACGTTTCCTAGCACAATTCAAAGTGTTGGTGCTGACCTTTAAAGCCCTAAACAGCCTCGGCCCAGTATACCTGAAGGAGCGTCTCCACCCCCATAGTTCTGCCCGGACGCTGAGGTCCAGCGCCGAGGGCCTTCTGGCAGTTCCCTCATTGCGAGAAGCAAAGCTACAGGGAACCAGGCAGAGGGCCTTCTCGGTAGTGTCACCCACCCTGTGGAACGCCCTCCCATCAGATGTCAAAGAGATAAACAACTACCTGACATTTAGAAAACATCTGAAGGCTTTTAATGTGTGGCATTTTGATATATTTTTAATCTTTGTTGGAAGCCGCCCAGAGTAGCTGGGGAAACCCAGCCAGATGGGCGGGGTACAAATAAATTATTATTATTATTATTATTATTATTATTATTATTATTATTATCTTCTATCATTTCACCTCTTTCTCACCTTTTTTCTAAACTAAGTTGTCCCAAATGCTGCAACCTTTCTTCAATGGGGAGTCGCTAAATCCTTGCCCTTTTCTGAACTCTGCAACATCCTTTTTTTGAGGTGGGGCGCAACCAGAACTGTACGCAGTATTCCAAATCGGGTTGCACCATAGCTTTCGATAACAATGTTATGATGTCAGTGGTTTTATTTTCAATTCCTTTCCTATCCTCTCTGCCCCCCCCAAACCAGCTGAAGTTGGGGGGGGGGAATGGGGAGACCCTCTCCTCCTCCAACCCACATTTTCACCATTCACCCCCCCTCCCGTTCCTTCTCCCTCCTCCTGCTCACAGCCGTATTGCTCTTCCATCAAGCAAACATGCATTTCAAAGGTAAATTTGGCAATGCAAATGATCGATCCACAGTGATTAATCTGCATTGGCTCGGTCGCACATGGACAAGTGCCATAGCTTAGGGAAGGCGCCCAGAAGCTGAAGAATGACAACTCTGGTATCAGATTGCGCCTGCTAACAAGATTTTAAGAAGGCAGCCCCAAGTGATAAAAGAGTGAGAAAATAAGGAAGAGTGATTTATCAGAGAAAAGCATCAGAAAGCAGGGATCGCTGGAGTGTGTGCTTGAGACAAATGACAGGATATCCCCCATTTGGTGGAAGGTGTTTGATGTCAGAGAGTCCCAGTGATGGAGTTATAATGTTCCAGATATGTGAGCAAATGAATTTACTATCAACATCACTGCTACTGCTGAATAGGTATTGGCAGCATTGAGAAGGAAAAGAAAAAGAGAAACGTTTAGGGAATATGCGCCCATTCACATATATTTTTTTTAAAAAGTATTTATAGCTCTCCCCACCTCCAGTCATATAAAAACATCAGGATGGTCCCCCAACCAGAAAATACTATCTTATGGGTAGGCAAACTAAGGCCCGGGGGCTGGATCCAGCCCAATCACCTTCTAAATCTGGCCCGTGGACGGTCCGGAAATCAGCGTGTTTTTAAATGAGTAGAATGTGTCCTTTTATTTAAAATGCATCTCTGGGTTATTTGTGGGGCCTGCCTGGTGTTTTTACATGAGTAGAATGTGTGCTTTTATTTAAAATGCATCTCTGGGTTATTTGTGGGGCATAGGAATTCATTCACCCCCCCCAAAAAAATAGTCTGCTCCCCCCAAGGTTTGGGGGACAGTGGACTGGCCCCCTGCTGAAAAAGTTTGCTGACCCCTGTACTATCTAAACAACACAAAATAGAATAATAGATCATAGAATTGTAGAGTTGGAAGGGACACCTGCAATGCAGGAATCTTTTGCCCAATGTGGGGTTCGAACCAATGAGCTTGAGATTAAGAGCCACACACTCTACTGACTGAGCCATCCCAGCTGACCTATGCTGCCAATCTCAATTGTTCCAACCATTAAGTGGGCCTCGCCATTGGTGTAAATCTAAAAGGAATCCAGGAAGCCATTAGAGTCCCATGTCTCCCTCTTCCCAACGAACTTATTGCCAACAATCCAATGCGCACACACAGAGAGTTAGAAAGGCAATGTTATGAATCTTGCACTTCGAATTAATAGGCCACCACTCAACTTTCGCAACACTTTAAATAGGCCCCGTTTTCAAAATACCACTTTTCCTGCCTGCGGAGCATGCCTGCCATTTGTCATTTATTGGCCATTAAACTTGGGCTCTGCAGGCTCCCTGGCAACGTGTGACCCGGCGACATTCCTGGCAGCGCTCTCAAGATGCTCATAATTTCCCTGGAGATAAAAAGATGCAGCCGGTAATCCGATCTCAGCTCCAAAGAAATTGGTCCCAAACCGATAACTTAATTCGACTTACAAAGGCACAAGGACAGAAGAAGAACCCGCAGGATCAGGCCAATGGCCCATCTACTCCAGAATTCCCATCTTCCCAATTTAAATCAGGGCAGGGTGTGTCCTGGCTCTTAAACACAGAACACAGAAGCTACATCTTAATGAGGAAGAAGAGGTCAGAGCCTGTTCTGCATTGACTGTCCACTCGGTTTAGAGAGCCTCCAACTGCCCTGTGGGAAGGATTCCAGGGGCAGGAATAAGTACATAAGAAAACCCTAATAGCACATCTAATCCAGCATCATCTTCTCACCAAAGCCAACCAGATGCCCACATGGCAAACCCTCAAGCAGGACCCAAGCCCAAGAGCCTTCTCCTCTCCTGTGGTTTTCCAGCAACTAGTGTTCAGAAGCACAACTACTTCTGACCATGAGTGTAGCCATCATGGCAAGCAGCCACCAATAGCTTTCTTCTCCATGAATTTGTCCAATCATCTTTCAAAGGTGCCTAAGTTGGTAGCCGTCACTGCCTCCTGTGGCAGTGAGTTCCATAGTTTAACAGTGTGAAGAAGTCCCTTCTTTAATCTGCCCTACAAGCCACACGGAAGGCAGAAAGGCATCTACCCCAGGAAGATGTCCTATTCTGAGTCAGACCATTGGCTCATCTACTTTATATGATCTAATGCCAAGGTTAAATCTTAAGAAGCAGAGACATCACCTTGCCGACAAAGGTCCGTATAGTTAAAGCTATGGTTTTCCCAGTAGTGGTGTATGGAAGTGAGAGCTGTACCATAAAGAAGGCTGATCACCGAAGAATTGATGCTTTTGAGTTAAGGTGCTGGAGGAGACTCTTGAGAGTCCCAGGGACTGCAAGAAGATCAAACCTATCCATTCTGAAGGAAATCAGCCCTGAGAGCTCACTGGAAGGACAGATCCTGAAGCTGAGGCTCCAATACTTTGGCCACCTCATGAGAAGAGAAGACTCCCTGGAAAAGACCCTGATGTTGGGAAAGATGGAGGGCACAAGGAGAAGCGGACGACAGAGGACGAGATGGTTGGATAGTGTTCTCAAAGCTACCAGCATGAGTTGGACCAAACTGCGGGAGGCAGTGGAAGACAGGGGTGCCCGGTGTGCTCTGGTCCATGGGGTCACAAAGAGTCGGACACGACTAAACGACTAAACAACAGCAATGTCAAGGTTGCAAGTTCAATCCCTACATAGAGATATGGTCAAACTTGAAGCTTTCCTTGCTAGGTCGAATTGCTGTTATAAAGATGAATGTATTGCCAAGAATGTTATTTTTGTTTCAGTCATTGCAAATCTTGGACAAGATGGATTGTTTCAAGAAGTGGCAGAGAGATATTTCGAGATTTGTCTGGCAGGGCAAGAAGCCCAGAATAAAATTTAAAATATTAACTGATGCAAAGGACAGAGGTGGATTTGCCCTGCCAGACCTCAAACTTTATTATGAATCAGCAGCATTCTGCTGGTTGAAAGAATGGCTGCTTCTTGAGAACACAGACATTTTGGACTTAGAAGGTTTCAACAATGTTTTTGGGTGGCATGCATATTTGTGGTATGACAAGGTTAAAGCACATAAAGCATTTAAAAACCATATTGTCAGGAAAGCATTGTTAAATGTCTGGATAAGATATAAGGACCTACTTGAAAACAAAACCCCAAGGTGGTTGTCACCGATGGAAGCAAAGGCTCAGAAAAGGCTCAATATGGAGGCCAAATGGCCGAAATATTGGGAAATATTGGAAAAAGGAGACAAATTGAAATTGCAGGGTTTTGGGAAATTAAAAGACAAAGTGTGAGACTGGCTTCATTACTATCAGATAATGGAGGCATATAATTTGGATAAGAAAATTGGCTTTCAGGTGGAAAAATCAAAACTAGAAACAGAACTGTTAGAACCCAAAACTAAGATTTTGTCAAGGATGTATAACTTGCTGTTGAAATGGAATACTCAGGATGAAACGGTGAAATCTGCTATGATTAAATGGGCACAAGATGTTGGACATAATATTATGTTTGCTGACTGGGAACAGTTGTGGACCACAGGTATGAAATTCACGGCATGTAATGCCTTAAGAGAGAATATTATGAAAATGATATACAGGTGGTACATGACACCAGTCAAGCTTGCAAAAATCTATCATTTGCCCGATAATAAATGTTGGAAATGTAAAGAAAATGAAGGTACATTCTTTCACCTTTGGTGGACGTGCCCAAGGATTAAGGCTTTCTGGGAGATGATCTATAATGAATTGAAAAAGGTATTTAAATATACCTTCTTGAAGAAACCAGAGGCCTTTCTCCTGGGCATAGTCGGCCAACTGGTGCCAAAGAAGGATAGAACTTTTTTTATGTATGCCACAACAGCAGCAAGAATACTCATCGCAAAGTATTGGAAGACACAAGATCTACCCACCTTGGAAGAATGGCAGATGAAGGTGATGGACTATATGGAATTGGCGGAAATGACTGACAGAATCCGAGACGGGGGAGAAGAGTTGATGGAAGAAGACTGGGAAAAGTTTAAAGACTATTTACAGAAATATTGCAAAATTAATGAATGCTAGAATGATGTTGGATAGAAACTAAGTGGTCTTTAGCTGAAATACTATAAGGGAATATGAAAAAATGGATTACTAATAGGCAAAAATTTAAAATTATATTACTTTATGACTAACGATAAGGATATACAAAGAGGGGAGGGATTTGCTGAACTAACAAACCGAACCGGAATACTAAAAAGGGAGGCGTGAGGAGGTCCGGGAAATAAGCAAATGAAGGATAAGTAATGGAAAGAATGAATTGTTTTTAATCATTGTTATTTTGTATTTTTCTTTGCATTTTGTAATGTTATGAAAACCTTAATAAATATCTTATAAAAAAAAAACCAATCCCTACATAGGAAAGCTGCATATTCCTGCATTGCAGCGGGTTGGACTAGATGATCCTCAAGGTCCCTTCCAGCTCTACAATTCTATGATGCTATGATTCACTGCCTGGGTCTAAGGCTGGAGATCCTCCCAGCCCGACCTGGAGAGCCCGGGGATTGAACCAGGGACCTTCTGCACATAAAACAGATGCTCCACCACTGAGCAACAGTCCTTCCCTGAGTTCAGCCTAGGGAATAGTCCCAAGGGCCAGAGAGAGAGGTCTAGAGGGCCACTTCAGCCCACAAGCTTGAGGATCCCGACTCCTAATAAACAAAATGTGCCTGTAAACCAGGAGGAAGGCTGACTTCAGTCTTGCAAACGGTGAATGGTCATTTCTCGCGCTTTCTAATAACTCCAGTTCCTTCTAATGATGCAAATCTTCAAGTCGGAGCCCGGAGGGTCAAGTGTGTCCATGCTCTGCTGGTGAGCTGGCAAAAGAAGCCATGTCAGCAGCTTCGTTCTCTGTGTCTCTGCCCGCCGGGAGCCTGGCACCACCCGAGTCTGCCACACCTGGTTTCTACAGCTCTCTGCTGCAGCGTCTCTGAGATTGCATCCTTCCAGAGTTCTCCAGCCTAGCAGAACTCATTTCTTTGCTCCTGTCTGTCACAGCAGAGGCACCTGAGGATTTCATTCAGTCTGCACTTTTAAGAGAAAAGGACTGGATTTGTGCTTTTCTGCCACTCGCACACATTTTTAGCTGTGATCCCAGCATTGCAGTGGGTTGGACTAGATAACCTGCAGGTCTCTCCCAACAACACAGTTCTGTGACTCTACCAGAATCCAACAGCATCTGGTTGGCCACATGGAGAACAGGGTCCTGGACAAGATGATGATGAATTGAATTTATACACCGCCCTATACCAGGGGGGATGTGGGTGGTCTGTGACACTGTCAAATGGCTTTTTCTAATGTTTAGTTCAAGGGAAGTGGGTGGCGCTGTGGGTTAAACCACAGAGCCTAGAGCTTGTCAATCAGAAGGTTGGCGGTTCGAATCTCCGCAACGGGGTGAGCTCTCATTGCTCGGTCCCTGCTCCTGCCAACCTAGCAGTTCGAAAGCACGTCAAAGTGCAAGTAGATAAATAGGTACCGCTCCAGCGGGAAGGTAAACGGCGTTTCCGTGCGCTGCTCTGGTTCGCCAGAAGCGGCTTAGTCATGCTGGCCACATGATCCGGAAGCTGTACGCCGGCTCCCTCGGCCAATAAAGCAAGATGAGCGCTGCAACCCCAGAGTCGGCCACGACTGGACATTATGGTCAGGGGTCCCCTTTACCTTTACCTTTATACCAGGGGGTATCAGGGCGATTCACAGGATAAAATCAAGATATAAAACCACATAATACATAGTACAAAATGTAGAGTAGCCACTGGCCTGATCCTGCAGGCATTTATCATGTTCTTATTATCCTACTTCAGCCACAAAGATCACCTTGGGCCAGTTGCTGCCTCTCAGCCTAACTAACCGACCTCACAAGGCTGTTGCGCAGATTAAATGAGGAGGGAAAACAAGGTGGGGCAGAAATGCAATAAAACAAAAGTACAGTGGACGCTTGGGTCGTGAACGTGATCCGTGTGGGATGCACATTCGCAACCTGCAGCGGCACATCTGCGCACACGCGGGTTGCGATTCAGTGCTTCTGCACATGCGCAAAGCACGATTTAGCGCTTCTGAACATGCGCGACCACTGAAACCTGGAAGTAACCCGTTCCGGTACTTCCGGGTTTCGGCGGTCCATAACCCAAAAAAATGCAGCCTGAAGCGTCTGTAACCCAAGGTATGACTGTAAATAGAACAAACGGGCAGGTAGAAGAAGCAGACAGCGAGCGCATTCTGCCAAGGCGACAGGCAGCCGGCAAGGGGTATTTCTTACAATATCCAAGCAGCTAATGAGAGAGGCAGATGGCAGCGAGGGGATGTGTGTGACAGAGAGGGAGAGGGAGAGAAACGCAGGAGCCCAAAAAAAGTTCCACTTGTCCAGTGAGCAGAAGCCCTTTCCGCCTTGAGAGGACACCCCCTGCTCTTCCTTTCCTTAATCCTAGCATCTTCCAACCCCCTCGGGTCCTTCTCCATCCCCTCTCTCCCTCGCTCCCCCCTTCAGGGCTGCCTGCATTGCTGTGTGGCCTGGTAATTAGAGATGTGAATCACCTCGGCAGACCCAGGGAGGGCCGCTGTACAGCTGGAGTCCCCCCCTACCCCGGGGTCAAGGAGCAGGCGGGCAGTTTGGCTCTTAAAGGCTTTCTTTCCCTCCCTCGCCTCCGCCACCCTCAATTCACCCACTTTGCAGTTGGGCTGAGGAGGACCGAGAGGGGCTCATTATGAGGATGCGTTTCTGGGGGGGTGGGGGGCCGCTGGGAAGGAGCAGATGGCAGACAGGCGGGTGGCGGAGCCCAGGCTGCTCCTCTCTCTCGCTCAGCAGATGCCCCAGAACAAGAGCAGGCAGAGAGAGAGAGGGAGAAAGAGAGAGAGAGAGAGAGAGAGAGAGAGAGGATTAAAGGCCTCTCTGTATCAATTAACATCTAAGGTCAGAGAGAGGCAGAGAGGATGGCAAGGAGGCAACAGCAGGCCCCAGGAAGAGCAGGGATCCGGCAAGGTCAGGAAGGGGGCTGAAGGAGGAAGGGGAGAAGGAAGAAAGATGACTCCAGGCTCAGAGGGAAGCCAACCAGTCCGTTTCAGTCCCTCTCCAGTTTGGTTCTCCAAATTTCCGCGTTTCATTCCTATTCGAGGCTCCCGTTCTCCTCCTCTTGTGATCCCTCCTCTTTATACAATAGATTAAAACTGGACAGTTCTCAGTTAGGAGGTGCTTTCAAAATACTGCATTTATCAAGTTGATGGATAAATTAACTGGGAAGCTCAGGAATCAAGAAGACGAGAATTATTTTTTTTAAAGAATGGGAAATGTTTATAATGTATATACAAAATCATTGTAAGCAGGTTGAAACATTAGCAGAATTTTAAATGCAGGGCTGCCTTCAGACATCTTCTAAAGGTTGTATAGTTACTTATCTCCTTGGATCGGGGGTTGCATAACTCCATACCCTCCAACATTTCTCTGGTGAAAATAGGGACACAACAGGGTGAGCTCCTGTTGCTCGGTCCCTGCTCCTGCCCACCTAGCAGTTTGAAAGCACGTCAAAGTGCAAGTAGATAAATAGGTACCACTCCGGCGGGAAGGTAAACGGCGTTTCCGTGCGCTGCTCTGGTTCGCCAGAAGCGGCTTAGTCATGCTGGCCACATGACCCAGAAGCTGTACGCCGGCTCCCTCAGCCAATAAAGCAAGATGAGTGCCACAACCACAGAGTTGTTCGCAACTGGACCTAATGGTCAGGGGTACCTTTACCTTTAAGGAAAAGTGGACGTGGGTGGTGCTGTGGTCTAAACCACTGAGACTCTTGGGTTTGCCGATCAGAAGGTCAGCGGTTTGAATCCCCGCGACAGGGTGAGCTCCCGTTGCTCTGTCCCAGCTCCTGCCAACCTAGCAGTTTGAAAGCATGTCAAAGTGCAAGTAGATAAATAGGTACCACTCTGGCAGGAAGGTAAACGGCATTTCCTGCACTGCTCTGGTTTCACCAGAAGCGGCTTAGTCATGCTTCAATTTCATTTCAATTTCAATTAATTGATTGTGATTTTATGTAAACTATGTTATTTTTACTGTTGTTAGCCGCTCTGAGCCTGGCTTCGGCTGGGGAGGGCGGGATATAAATTAATGATGATGATGATGATGATGATGGCCACATGACCCGGAAAAACTGTCTATGGACAAACGTTGGCTCCCTCAGCCAGTAAAGTGAGATGAGTGCCGCAACCCCAGAGTCGTTCGCGACTGGACTTAACTGTCAGGGGTCGTTTACCTTTACCTTTTTAAGGAAAAGTGGGACATTTCAGGATCAAATCAGAACCTGGGATGGCTTCTTGTAAATCCAAGATTGTTCCTGGAAAATAGGGACACTTGGAGGGTCTACTCATGTGTGCAATGCACCCAACCTGGAAGTGACCAAAAAACATCACAAAAAGGGGTGGAACAGGGTGTTTGCAGGATTTTTCAATTGTGTTTCAAATTTACATGATTTCACTTAAATGCACTCAGAACATAACCCCCGTATAAATAGGGCGTTGCCCATAATTAAACTAGTTTTAACTGGAATTTTGAATAAATGTGCAATTGATGGTTACTGTTTTGAGCTTTATTGTGTTATTATCTTCCTTAATTGATCATGCAAACCACTGTTTGTAATGATGCTTTTTATAGGGTGGGGCCAGGGCACTGGGGATGAGTTTAGGGACCCCCCAAAATTAGGAACCGACGCTCCAAGCAGTTTACAAAAGACAGCTGAAAATATTCATTGAACATGCCAGCAACCTTAAAAACAAGTTACATAATTTTATTTCTTTCTAAAAAAAATATTAAATGAAATACAAAATGAAACCAGTAGCTTTATCAGACTACTAAAAACGCATGTCAAGATTACATGCTAAAATGATGGGACCGGGTCAGGCCAGGGCTGTCTGCCCTTCAAAACAGAGGACAGTCCTCTGCAATGTAGAACATGCAGATGCCCTCGGAGAGATTCCCAGGGTCAGCTTGGGCCTTGTGCCCGGCACGCTGGCTGCACACGGGCTCCCGAGATTAGCAACCGACTGCGCAAATCTCCCTTTTTAATCTTCCATGCAAACAGATCAAGCGACCAAATCTCTCCCACCCGCCCATGTGCTCTTGCGCATAACGCTCTGTCGTTCCTCTGGCAATATGTCTCGGAAGATTAAGGGTTAACGGGTGTATCTCTCCAGATCTCTAGCCCCAAGTGACTCTGGGAAGAGGGAAGAGGCCAGTCTGCCATCTGGCCCATTTGTCAACCTAGAATTTGCAGGAGTTTGCCCACGCCCCCCAGCAGTCTCCAATTTCCTATGGGGCACGATGAGTTTGTTCCAAAATCAATCTTCCCTGAGGCATGGGAAATGTAGGAAAGGGCCGTGACTCAGCGGTAGAGCATCTGCTTGGAGTGCAGAAGGTCCCGGGTTCAATCCCCAACAGCATCTCCTGGTAGGGCCGAGAGAGGACTGTGTCTGAAATGCTGGAGAGCTGCTGCCAGTCAGAGTAAACAATACTGGGTTAGATGGAGGGCTGCTGCCAGTCAGAGTAAACAATACTGGGTTAGATGGAGGGCTGCTGCCAGTCAGAGTAAACAATACTGGGCTAGATGGAGGGCTGCTGCCAGTCAGAGTAAACAATACTGGGTTAGATGGAGGGCTGCTGCCAGTCAAAGTAAACAATACTGAGCTAGATGGACCAATTATATGGCTCAGTATACAGAAGCCTCCTATGATGGGGAAAGGGCAGTAGCTCAGTGAAAGAGCATTTATGATGCACGGGAAAGGTCACAGATTCAATCCTCAGCATCTCCAGGTAGGGCCGGGAGATAATCCGGGATTTGAACTCGGGTCTTCTTGCCTTAAGTCTAGCACTACATTGCACCAGTTCACCAACAGGTTGAGCAGGTGTGTCACTGAAAGTTGAGGATGAATTGTTCTCTTAGTCAAGCGGAAGCTCAACCATGGATTTATTCCCACGTCTGAAACAAACTGGGGCTCAACCACTGACTCTTGTCATTTCCAAGTTATTTGCAGGTGTTGTCATGGTAATGGTATTTGCGTTCTGCCTCAGAAGTCAAGAGACGACTTGTTTCTCTAGCCTTTTCTCTGTCACCTGATGCTCGCTTAATGAGTGCGGGTGGCCTTTGGTGACTGATGGCTTCTAGCTACCCGATAGATATCGTGAAAGCATTTTTTTTTTATCTTGCTCTTTACCCGTTTCCCTCACCTCAAAGGCTGCCAGAACAGCTTACAAATGTCAGCGATAAGGCAGTCTCTGCCTTTAGGATGATAATCTGAAAGGCATGACACAAAAGGAAATGGATTTGGGAGGGATGAGGGGAAAGGAAAACCCAGGTAGCATTTCTCAGTTACAGAGACATCTGCAGGAGGCTGAAAGAAACTGACAGTGGCCCTATAAGAATCTGTTGCAGGAACTTTCTACAACCAGGGGAAACAGGAAGCAGGACAACTCTGAACCCCCCCCCAATATGTCAAGATCTAGTTTTGTTTTCTTTTAAACATATTTTTCATTGATTTTCACAGGTTTTACAAATTTAAAGGTAAAGGTAAAGGGACCCCTGACCATTAGGTCCAGTCGTGGCCGACTCTGGGGTTGCGGCGCTCATCTCGCTTTATTTACCAAGGGAGCCGGCGTACAGCTTCCGGGTCATGTGGCCAGCATGACTAAGCCACTTCTGGCGAACCAGAGCAGCGCACAGAAACGCCGTTTACCTTCCTGCCTGAGCGGTACCTATTTATCTACTTGCACTTTGACGTGCTTTCAAACTGCTAGGTGGGCAGGAGCAGGGACCGAGCAACGGGAGCTCACCCCGTCACGGGGATTCGAACTGTCGACCTTCTGATTGGCAAGTCCTAGGCTCTGTGGTTTAACTCACAGCGCCTACAAATTTACTTACATTTTTACTTACAAATTTACTTACAAATTTACTTACATTTAAATTTACTTACAAATTTACTTACGTTTAAATATATATTTTCCTTAAAGTTTTGACTTCTCACCCTTACTCCCATGATCTTTTTATTCCCAGTTTATACCAACTGCTTTATATGACATACTTGAATCTAATACAATTATCCTCTATTTCACTTGTTTTCATTCCACTGCTCATGATTCTAACCTTGCCCATTTGACTGCAACAGTTGTTCGAACAGTCCGAAAAAATCTAGTTGCTTTCTTCAGGTGCAGCCTGGACAATGTTCTGAGGGAATTGAATGTATCTAGACTGTGGTTTTTTTAAAACAACAACAACAACAACACACTTTTGATCCAGGAAAAATTCTGCCACCTAATCTACCTATTGGGTGGTTTCTTCTCCTTTACAAAATGTATGTGCTACATTTTGAGTACAGTGGTAACTCGGGTTAAGAACTTAATTCATTCTGGAGGTCCGTTCTTAACCTGAAACTGTTCTTAACCTGAGGTACCGCTTTAGCTAATGGGGCCTCCCACTGCCTCCATGCCCCCACCGCGCGATTTCTGTTCTCAACCTGAAGCAAAGTTCTTAACCTGAGGTACTATTTCTGGGTTAGCGGAGTCTGTAACCTGAAGGGTCTGTAACCTGAAGCGTCTGTAACCCGAGGTACCACTGTACTTTGCAAAACGATCCTGCTTTTGCCATGCAGGAGAAACAACAAAGTATTTCATGCACACACGTAGGCGCACACATTTCCATGTGCCCATGTGTGCACCCAAGGGGAACTGAAGCTCCACCCTCTGACAACTGGAAATCTTATTCTATTGCTTTTCTCTGGCTTTGAAATGCCACCAGGCCCCACTCCCAATGACATTTTCTCTGGGAACATACGGACTAGGGCCTTGCATTTGGAAATAACCAAATCTAGAAGATTAAGAAGCCGAGATTCTAGAACAGAGCTTTCCAAACTGTGTGTCGTGACATGTTAGTGTGTTGGCTGCAGTGTGCAGGTGTGCCATGTGAACGCTCCCTGCTTTCTTTCTTGGGGCTGGAAAGGGGTTAGTTTCACTTCTGCTTTGCTAGCAAAACTGAATTACTGTGTCGCGAAATGATGCACGTCTGAAAAGTTCTGTAGCATTTCAGAATTGCACTACGCCCGGAATAAAATTCCGAAATGAAATTCATTTCCACTGTCAGTCTGGATCCACCTGCTTCCTGCGGCGACTTTTGAAGACATGCTCTGTTTTACATCCCCCCTTTATGCCCTGTGAATAAAGCTTAAAAATAAAATAATAAAAGGATTCTTTCTCTTGTCTCTTTACAGCAGTGGCGTTGAAATGAAATTGTGCCAGGGATTTAAATAGGGCTTACATATAAATTTGCCAGCAGGAGGGAGAAATAGCCCGTGAGCTGCTTAGATTGCAGGCAGGGATATTGGGCGGTGGGGGAGAATATTTATGGGGCGGGTGGAGTTTATCAATCGGGAATTTCCTCTGCTCTAGTGCTCCCTAATTTATAACTGGGCTAAATACGCTCTTGTCACCTGGGGGCTTTCTGGCTGGTGACCCACTTTCTCTGTGTCATTTGGAAGCCAGGCCTGCCTGCCTGTCAGCACAATTTTACAGCAGGGAGGGGGACCTGCTGGCCCTGCAGATGTTGATGGACTGTACCTCATCGTCTCTAACCATTGGGTCATGCTGTCTGGACTGGTGTGTGTTGGGCTCCAGAAGCATCTAGAGGGGTTTGCCAGCCCTGAATGAGACCAAAATCTGGGAAGGGATAGGACTTTGAATGGGGTGCTGATATCTAACTGAGAATATGACTATCTAAACACAGGGGTGGCTGAGGCCCACTGGGACTGGTAGGGCAGAAGGCAGGGAGCCTAACAGTAGGGGGCGCCATAGCCAATGACAGGTAGAGCCAACTCACTCTAGTTTTGTCCCCATCCTCTTCCTTGCAAGGGCAACACTGAGACTAATGAGGAAGCCGACAAGCATTGTTTACTCACCGGACTGGTTGCGAATAAGCACACAGGCAGGTTGAGGGAAGGGCTGGCTGAGAGCAGAATGAGGTTGGTGGGACAGCTTGCCAGTCACGCTAATGGATCAGCCACCACTGCCTGAATAAACTGGGAGTGAAACCCATCTTACTGAATGTTGTTGTTGTTTAGTCGTTTAGTTGTGTCCGACTCTTCGTGACCCCATGGACCAGAGCACGCCAGGCCCTCCTGTCTTCCACTGCCTCCCGCAGTTTGGTTAAACTCATGCTGGCAGCTTCAAGAACACTGTCCAACCACCTTGTCCTCTGTTGTCCCCTTCTCCTTGTGCCCTCCATCTTTCCCAAGATCAGGGTCTTTTCCAGGGAGTCTTCTCTCCCTCCCTCTCTCCAAAGTATTGGAGCCTCAGCTTCAGGATCTGTCCTTCCAGTGAGCACTCAGGGCTGATTTCCTTCAGAATGGATAGGTCTGATCTTCTTGCAGTCCACGGGACTCTCAAGAGTCTCATCCAGCACTGTAATTCAAAAGCATCAATTCTTCGGCGATCAGTACTGCTGAATACCTCCAGCTTATTCTGTTATGGTTTATTTTGGGCTTATAATGATGCTGCTGATAATACAACACCACCACCACCACCACACTCCCTTCTCTGGTTGCTTGGTGGCAAATGTCTACTCACCATAGGTGATTAGGCATGAAGCTATTGAATTCTGATTCATTTCTCCTGTCCTTTTATATCCCTCTAGTGTTAACCTTCAGACAGAGTGCCATTGCTTATGTATCCAAAAGGGTATGTCCAAGCAAAAGGAAGAAGTATGTGGGATAGGATTGCAAACTCCAAAGTTTGCAGAAGTGGGGATTTTTTTTGGGGGGGGGAGGAGGGGAGCGTCAAAGGAGGAAGAACTCCCAAAGAGCTCAATGAGAAGTGAGCATTGCTTACTGGTAATGGGATGTTGGTTGGCTATTGGCAGGAGGGAAATGGGAAGCCAGGGTAGGAGAGGGAACAGAACAGAGTGGATGGAATCTAAAGGATCGTGCTTTATGCTGCAACATTTCGTTGCAAAGCCCAGTTGTAGTAGTGGCAGTAGCAATGATAGTAATCACAGTGAGAAGCCAGAAATCATAGCTCACATGGGCTTCAGACATATTTTCTGGGACAACTCCGATCATTCGTCAAGACCCAATCAACTCACACACAAAAAAAATGATCACAGCCACCTGACAATGAAACAACAAATTCTTTGTTTTGGTATTGGCACTACACTACAACAATACGTGCACTATCTGAACTTAGAAAAATGCAGATTCGGTAATCATCTGGACGAAAGCTGTTGAAGCCAACCAAGCAATAAATTGTCAGACGCCAGATTCAATATTTCCAGACATAAATAAGAAGCAAGCCATGTCACTGCTAGCCACAATGCCTATGTTCTTCTCCTTCTGTAGCTGACTCTGAATAGTATTTGCTCGGAATCGCAGGCAGGGAGAATGGTTGGCTGCGGGTGAGAGGCGTTAGAATAATAGATTTGTAGAATTGAACGAGACCTTAAAGGACATCCAGCCCAGCCTCCTGCAATGCAGGAATCCCAGAATCCCTATCCAACCTCTATTTAAAAACCTCCAACAAAGGAGAGTCCACAAACTGCTGTTGTACAGTCGTACCTTCGCTCCCAAACAAATCGGCTCCTGAACGATCAGAACCCAGAAGTGAGTGTTCTGGTTTTTGAACGGTTTTCGGAAGCCGAACATTCGCCGCGGCTCCCGTAGCTCCCAATTGGCTGCAGGAGCTTCCTGCAGCCAATCAGAAGCCGCACTTTAGTTTCTGAACATTTTGGAAGTCGAACGGACTTCCAGAACGGATTCCATTCGACTTCCCAGGTACGACTGTAGGCGGTTCCATTGTCAAACAGCTCCTACCCTCATGAATTTCTCCCTAAGAGAATCTCTCATCATTTGAATCCATTGGTTCAGGCCCAGCCGTCCAGAGCAGCAGAAAGCAAGCTTGCTCCATCTTCCATGGGACAGCCCTTCAGATACAGTGGTACCTCGGGTTAAGTACTTAATTCGTTCTGGAGGTCCGTTCTTAACCTGAAACTGTTCTTAACCTGAAGCACCACTTTAGCTAATGGGGCTTCCCGCTGCTGCCGCGCTGCTGCTGCTCGATTTCTGTTCTCATCCTGAAGCAAAGTTCTTAACCCGAGGTACTATTTCTGGGTTAGCGGAGTCTGCAACCTGAAGCGTATGTAACCCAAGGTACCACTGTATTTGAAGATGGCCATCTCAGCCTTCTCTTCTTCTGGCTAAACTAACACAGCACTAACGACCGTTCCTCATAAGGCTTGATCTTCAGACCAAGAGTTGTAGTTTCAGACATCAGGAGCAGTGGGTGACGAAGTGGGGGGCACTGTCTCCTGAGATGGTGATGGTATGATTATCTCAGGGGGTGCCAAGAAGCAAGGGGGTGGCAGCAGGTGGGGTGCTGGAGGTGCCAAACAGACCTTGAAAAGCTGGCATCCTTAGATCAAATCCATTAGTTTTGTTGAATTAATCAAAATAAATCATTTCAATTGGATTTTGAATAAATGTGCATTCAAATTGTTGCTGTTTTGAATTTTATTGTGTTACCGAGTGGGGGGCTGTGATTTTTTTATAGGGTAGGGGCACTGGGGATGAGTTTATGAACCCAAGGGTGCACAGCTTCAAAAATGTTTGGGGACCCCCCCTGATCCAGAGGGCACCAGGTTGGAGAAGGTTGACGAAGGTCCACCTAGGCCAGGGAGTTGCATCCAGAGGTCAAGCCAGCAGCAGATCCAAGACACGAAGGAGAAGCTGTGGAGTGGTTTTCTGTCCCCGCTTCAGGCCTCAATGCCAGGCTCTGACAAGCTCCAGGAAAGGTTAATTGGAAAAAGTCCTTTCTCCCGATTGTCTTATTTATTCTGCCACGGTACAAGCAGCTCAATAATCCATTCGCAGAGAGACATTGTTCCGACTGCACAGGGGAAACCAAAAGCCCCCAGGCCTCACTGCAAAACATTTACAAGAATCTATATGAAGGAGGGAAGGAGTAGGCAGCAAAAGCGGGCGGTTTCCCTCCACCCCTTATTTTTTACCCAGATAAACAAAGACAAGCCAGGTATGTTTCAGTTTCGGCTTCTTTGATGGTTTGCAAGGAATGCTGGCAGCAATTAGAATATATGGCCCAGAGTGTTTAACACAGGGACTGGGAGCATGTCCAGTCACTGCCAGGGACAATGGCAGGCTGGATGAGTGCAGACCCTCTAAGTCATGGGTAGGCAAACTAAGGCCCGGGGGCCGGATCCGGCCCAATCGCCTTCTCAATTTGGCCCACGGACGGTCTGGGAATCAGCGTGTTTTTACATGAGTAGAATGTGTCCTTTTATTTAAAATGCATCTCTGGGTTATTTGTGGGGCATAGGAGTTTGTTCATTTTTTTCTTCAAAATATAGTACGCCCCCCCCCACAAGGCCTGAGGGACAATGGACTGGCCCCCTGCGGAAAAAGTTTGCTGATCCCTGCTCTAGGTTTCCCTATTTTCCAGGGACAGTCCCAGATTTACAGAAGCCATCCCAGTTTCTGATCTGATCCCAGAATGTCCTGCTTTTTCTAAGGAAATCCCTCTTTTCAGCAGAGAAATGTTGGAGGGTATGGAGTTAGGTGAACCCCAAGCTAAGGAAGCCAGGGACCTCCCTGGGTTTTTTGAGCCAGTCACTTTCCTCTTAGCCTAACCTACCTGGCAGGGTTATAAAAAGGTAAAGGGACACCTGACCATTAGGTACAGTCGTGACCGACTCTGGGCTTGCGGTGCTCATCTCGCTTTCCTGGCCGAGGGAGCCAGCGTACAGCTTCTGGGTCATGTGGCCAGCATGACTAAGCCGCTTCTGGCGAACCAGAGCAGCTCATGGAAACGCCGTTTCCCTTCCTGCCAGAGTGGTACCTATTTGTCTACTTGCACTTTGACGTGCTTTCGAACTGCTAGGTTGGCAGGAGCAGGGCCCGAGCAACGGGAGCTCACCCTGTCGTGGGGATTCAAACCGCCGACCTTCTGATCAGCAAGTCCTAGGCTCTGTGGTTTAACCCACAGCACCAGGGTTATAGTGGGGATTAAATAAGGAGGAGGGGGAGAACCATGCATGACACCTTGAGCTCCTGGGAGAGAAAGGTAGGATATCAATGCAATAAATAAACACATGATTTTTTTACCTTTGCTGCTTGGTTCACTTCGGCTTCTGTCCCAGCCCACCACCAGCCCCCGGCCACCGGAAGCTTGCCCAGAATGGAATGTGGCCCTCGGGCTGGACACCGTCCCCAACCCATTCTAACCAGATGCAGGTGAAGGCTAGGATCAACGTCTCTGCATCATCATGAGTTAAAACCAATAAACTCCCCATCTCGCCAGACTGACAGCTGGAACACACACCTGTCGTTTTCCCCCTTCCTTCACAATAAAATGCAACCTGATGCATTCCCTTCCCCCAGCGGGAAGGGAATCAGGTTTCTGGCATGGCAGCGCCAGGCAGCTGACCCCTGGCTGTCTGGCAGACCCAGGGGGCTTGAGTTTGCATCTGGACAGCAGAGGTTGGTCTGTTAGGGCAGCTGGAGCACTGCCCCACTGACCTCAGACAGGCATCAGCCAGCCTGCCTTCTTACCTACAACTGGACCTATCAGCTTCCCTCTCCTAAGTCTCATCATGTTCCCCCTTGCTGGTTTTGACCTTTAAAGCCCTTTGTGGCTTAGGGCCCTTGTATTTATGGGACCGCCTCTCCTGGTCTGCCCCGCAGAGGACCTTAAGGCCCATGAATAATCATTAGAGGTCCCTGGCCCTAAGGAAGTCAGATTATCCTCCTCCAGGGCCAGGGCCTTCTCAGTGATGCCTCCGACCTGGTGGGATGCTCTGTCCCATGAGACCAGGGCCCTGCAGGATTTAACTTCCTTCCGCAGGGCCTGTAAGACAGAGCCTTTCCCCCTAAACTTAAAAAGTCCCAAACCCAGAACCTTCCTTCATCCCCTCGATCATTTGGGTCACACTTTGCCGAACCATTTCCCACTTTACAATATCCTTTCGGAGCAAAGGTGACCAGAAACCAGAACTGTACACACAAGTATTCCAAATGACAAATGTGTCAATACTCTCGTTCTTGGCTTTGTTGACGCAGGCAGTTGAAGGAGGAATCTTTAGGTGGCCACAGTATTTTTTATTTATTTAACTTATTAAATCTTCTCCCCACCCTTCCTCCCCGAGGAACCTCAGAGAATAAAAAGGAGGAAGAAAATCAAAAGCACATTAACGCATCTGTGGCCAGGCACAGATGAGCTAACATTTCAGCAAACTAAAGGGGCAAATGTTCCATGATGCTTTCTTGGCCAGATGTCTGTTTTGAAAATTCTCTGGCAGAGAGCCTCGCGGTCTCATGAAACTCCCCATTTCCACTGAACGCAAAGCATGCCTGCTTATTCCACCCCCCCTCCCTGCCAAATTCTGGAGAGCAGGCATCCTTCAAAACTGGATTTTCATCTGACAGTTCCCCCCATTCGATACAAAGCCTCTCACACCACTTCACAGATGGTGCCTCTCGCCCAGTGCTGCGTTCTTGCAAAGAAAAGAAAGCCTTCTGCCCCCTACCAAATGCCCCACTTCTACTCCTCCTGGCCAAGTCTGAAATAAACCCCTCTTGCTTTTGCTCAGGCAAAGACATCGGTCTGACATTGAGGCCTGTGCAGAGCAAGCAGCCCCAAAGGAGCTGAAAACTTGATATCGGGTGAGCCCAACACAGGGGCTGAAACACGAACTTGAATTTATTAGGAACTTGCTAGGTGCAGGTCTAAGGCTATGGATGCTATGTATTGAAGTTCTCACCCTGGGCCAGCAGGGGGATACTGTAGATAGTTATGCAAATGAAGGATCGAAAGTGACGTTCAGTGATTGGATAGTTTTAGAAAGTTGCAACAGTTACGTTGTTCTGGAGCTCTATACAAGCAGGCTGACTGAGCTCTTCAGTTCAGTTCTATTCTGGCCTCTGAATAAACAAGAGCTGTTTGAAGAATCGCTGTGTCGTCTGATATGTTCGCCCACAACTTAACAATGGACATACTAGACTTTTAAAGCATACATTTCCCACGCCCAAGAATCTTGCGTAGTGTAGCTTAACCCTCACAGATCTACAATTCCCAGCACCCTTAAAAACTACAGTTCCCAGTATTCCTTCCCCCTTTCTTTTTTAGGAGAGGGGAAATGTGCTTTAAACGCATGCCCGAAATATTACAAAACATACGAAGCTTCTGCTGAAAATAGTAGCCTTGTGTTTTATCTGACAAGCACTGGTGAATCACTTCCCATAAAATATCTCGGAGCAATTTCACAGTCAAAGCATCAGCAGCACTAAAATCCCAGTTAGAACACACACAAACGATCCAAACCAATTCCATACGTGAAAACAATTTCAAATCTGATTACGGAGACAGGAGTGTGATAAAGATCTCTATTTAAAAGGCTGGAGATCCTACACACACACCAAAAACACACTAGAGAAAGTGCCTGTCTGATGTGCAAGAAGAGTGTCCCTATTTTCCAGGGTTGTCCCTGAATTAGAGAAGCTGTCCCAGTTTCTGATTTGATCCTGGAATGTCCCCCCTTTCCTTAGGATGCCCCTATTTTTATTGGAGAAATGTTGGAGGGTATGGAGTTATGCGACCCCTGAGCTGCCTGTGTATAAATAGTAAAATTATCAAAATTATCATTATGGAATGGGACGTCCCTATTTTCATCAGAGAAATGTTGGAGGGTATGCCAAAGAGTAGGTGCTGCCACACTAAGTCCACTCCACTTACCTGTGGGGAGGAGTTGCAGTGGACTGCGTGGCCACGGCCTCTCCTCCGGGGGTGGGGGATGAAGTTCCGTGTTGCCCGGGGGATCCCGGTCATGTCATCGCCAGCCAGCCAATCCGGTGGCTGGGGGGCGTGGCCGGGAACAATTTAAACAGTGGCGTTCTCTTGGCTCGCTGCTTTAAATTCCTGCCCTCCCTCCCTAATTTTCAGGTTTACTTTTTCATTGGCCTTGCTATCAACCTTGGTTGGTCGCCGTTGAGGGGCCTGGTAGGAATTTTTCCACTTGGCAAAATTGGCATGGGGCCATTTGGTTTTCACCTACCTCATAGCAAACGTCACAACTTTGTAAGGTTTTGCGGTTAGGCATTGTTTGACCTTATGATGGGGGAGGGGAGGTGTGGCCATCACCTGCCCCTCCAAGCTTAAGGGTATTCCGTTAAAGGAATCTGGGGGTGTGGATCTTGTCCGAAGCCCAGGGCAGAGCTAGGGCCACTGCACGACCCCAATCTGGGGGAGCTCGAGTTGGTCTACATCGACGGGGCTCCCCTTTCTGGTGATTTACCCTTACCAGACTTCCTGCGCAGTGGGCAGGAGTCAGATATAGTCAGGTCCATTCAATGCCTAAGCCAATACCGCTCACAGTCTGTAATCAATAAAGTTGTGGCCAAAATTTGCCCAATAACATTAACATATATATGAGAGAAACATATTAACCTTTAAAGCCCTATACGGCCTAGGACCCTCGTACCTACGGGACCGCCTCTCCTGGTATGCCCCACAGAGAAACGTACGGTCTTCAAATAAAAACATCTTGAAGGTCCCAGGCCACAGAGAAGTTAGGCTGGCCTCAACTAGAGCCAGGGCTTTTTCGGCCCTGGCTCCGATCTGGTGGAACACTCTGTCACAAGAGACCAGGGCCCTGCGGGACTTGACATCTTTCTGCAGGGCCTGCAAGACAGAGCTGTTCCACCGGGCCTTTGGCCAGGGCACAGCCTGACTCCCTCCCTCGGCAATCTTCGCGGAGCTCTGGCCCAATGGTTGCCAGTGGCTTGAATTAATTAATTTTATAATGAATGATTTTAGAGTGTTGTTTGTGCTGTACTTTTGTACTGTTTTATTGTTGTTAGCCGCCCTGAGCCCGGCTTCGGCTGGGGAGGGCGGGATATAAATAAAATTTATTATTATTATTATTATTATTAACATAGTATCTGTGTCCTGGTGTCTTATTCTTTACGAGGGGGTGGTTGAGGGGTCTCGACATGCAAAGACATGATTCCTGTATCATACAGAAGGGCCTCCTGATAAAAAGGTATCTGTAGGCAGTAGCAGCTGTTTGTGGTTCATTGGGTCTGGTAAGGTGGAAGGCAGGGAGGCCAACAGTAGGTGGTGCCAGAGCAAGCAGGGCCAACTAATTCTAGCTTTGTCCTTAGCCTCCTCCCTCCTGAGTTACACAAGGCGCAACACAGAGACTGAAGAGGAGGGGGCAGCTGATGGGCGGTGCCAACTCCTGGACTGGCGGTTAATAAAGAGGTTTCACAAATATATTTTTAAAAAATTATGGCACACTTTCCTCCGATATAAACTATTTGGGGTGTGGGTGCAGTTTTTGGATGGATAAACGCATTGCAAAATCTGAAGAAATGCAAATTTTGACGGATAGCTGCGTTTGCGAATTGTTTCAGGAAGTACGAATTAGTTAACGTTAGCATTAAACGGATCACTCGGCCGGATTTCTCAAAACCATCATTTTTTTATTCTCTCCACTGTCAAAATCAATCAGTGTGTCCCACGATTATCTGGATGTCAAAGGATCGTCTCAGGACAGAAAGTAATTGCTTCTGGACAATTGATATTCATGTTTGCAATTGTGCCGCTTGACTTTTTTTTTTCTTAATCGAAACATGTACACCAAGGAAATCTTGTGTCTCCACCACCATGAGAGGCATCCAACCCAAAAAGGATTGTGTGTACTTCATCACAATGATATTGGCAAGGGAGTCTTTGCAGGCATGTCAAGCTACAGCTTTTGGCCAGGTCTGTGGGAGAAATATTTGCATCAAGCCTGGGAAGAAGAGCCCTTGGAAAAGTTTATGGGCTCAGACTTCTTGCAAAGGCAGGTCTGTATGTCTCAAGGCTCTGAAAAAAATATGGAAACTCTACGCCTGGGCTGAGAATCTTGCAGTCAGCCTGCTCTACACAGTGTAAAATGTTTTTCTTGATGAGGACCAGAGCCAGTGGTGGGGTGAGACAAAGGCCAAAGGGGGTCGGGCAGCCCCTTCAATTTCTTTTAGTTTCTGGCACACCTTTCTCATTCTCTCTCTCTCTCTCTCTCTCACTCTCATTGACACCCCCTTTCTCTTTCTGGCACCCCTTATCTTCTCTTTCTGACAATACAGTGGTACCTCGGGTTAAGAACTTAATTCGTTCTGGAGATCTGTTCTTAACCTGAAACTGTTCTTAACCGGAAGCACCACTTTAGCTAATGGGGCTTCCTGCTGCTGCCGCGCCGCCGGAGCATGATTTCTGTTCTCATCCTGAAGCAAAGTTCTTAACCCGAGGTACTATTTCTGGGTTAGCGGAGTCTGTAACCTGAAGCGTCTGTAACCCGAGGTACCACTGTACCTTTTTTTCTTTCTCTTTTTGACATCCCATTTTCTTTCTCTTTCTGACACCCAGTGTGGTGTAATGGTTAAGAGTGGTAGGCTCGTAATTTGGTGAACCAGGTTTGCTTCCCCGCTCCTCCACATGCAGCTGCTGGGTGACCTTGGGCTAGTCACACTTCTCTGAAGTCTCTCAGCCCCACTCACCTCACAGAGTGTTTGTTGTGGTGGAGGAAGGGAAAGGAGAAAGTTAGTACTCCTTTGGGTACTGATAAAGCGGGATATCAAATCCAAACTCCTCCTCCTCTTCTTCTTCTTCTTCTTCTTCTTCTTCTTCTTCTCTGTGGCTCTGACACCCCATTTCTCTCTCTCTCTCTCTCTCTCTTTCTCTTTGACACCGCTTTCCCCCTTTTGGCACCCCTTTCTCTCTTTCTGACACCTCGTTCCAAGGGTGCCAACTTGAATAAAATATTGGGGGGGGGGAGGTAAGCTCCACCCCTATTAATCGATCACATGACATGGTGCACACACGCTATTTGAATGGCAATGCCCATCAACTTTGGGGAGGCCTAACCCCCTCAGATATTTTATTGGGAGGGCCGAAGGGGCCAGCAGGCTCCGAGTGGGGAAGAGAGATCGCTCTTGCTAGTGGTTTGAACTCACAGATGACTTTCCCCATTCTCTTACCATCACCCCATCCATTGGAGCTTCTTCCCATGTTTTCTTTATCTCCCTCTGGACTCCCCCCAGCTGAATGAGATAAGGCCAAGGTACAGCTTCCTTGTCCCTCCAGCTGAATGAGATAAGGCACAGCTTCCTTGTCCCTACGTTAGTGTCAGATCTTGGGATCCGAGGGGAACTGAGTTCAAAACCCCACTCAGGCATGGAGCTCATTGGGTGGTTTGGGGCAAGTCATTACTAGCTCTCGAGCTACCCTACCTCACAAGGTTGTTGTGAGTTTAAAATGGGGGGGGGAAGAACCATGTGGAACTCATTGGTGGAAAACTGGTATATCAATGTAAGATGAATGAATGAATGAAATTGGGTGATATCTGTAGCCTTGAATGATTTAGAACCAACTCCATCTATAAATCGGACAGAGTTGCAAGATGCTATCCAGGATCCATGGCAACATATACTTAACAGAGGACAAGAATATACACTTAAGCAACCGCTTCTTGACCAATATGCGATTAATTTAACACCAACTCCAAAATGGAGTTTGGTTCTAAATCGCCTAAAATTGGTCTCCTCAAATTTTCCTAAGCCTAGAGATATGCTTACCCAGACCCAGCGTAAGATAATTTTTTTTGCAACTAGTAGAAGCAATAATTCCATCATCTCTCAGTATATAGAGGATATAGCAAACACAGAGTACCTTTTCTATGATTACCACTATTCTCGTCCAGTGGTCACTTTTAGAACTTGGAACATCACTCACAGAGTATATGGGAAAAACCTCAAACTTCTGGAAGTCGGCATAGAGGTGAACAGATATTTTGAAAACAACGTAAGATGAATATTCTCCCACAGGAGGACCTCTGATCTGTGTAAGATATGCACAAATTAGGTAAAGGTAAAGGGACCCCTGACCATTAGGTCCAGTCATGACCGACTCTGGGGTTGTGGCGTTCATCTCGCTTTACTAGCCGAGGGAGCCGAAGTACACCTTCCGGGTCATGTGGCCAGCATGACTAAGCTGCTTCTGGCGAACCAGAGCAGCACACGGAAACACCGTTTACCTTCCCGCCAGAGCAGTCCCTATTTATCTACTTGCACTTTGATGTGCTTTTGAACTGCTAGGTTGGCAGGAGCTGGGACCGAGCAACGGGAACTCACCCCGTCATGGGGATTCGAACTGCCAACCTTCTGATTGGCAAGCCCTAGGCTCTAGGGTTTAACCCACAGCGCCACCCGCATCCCTATGCACAAATTAGCTTCCCTTATTTTCCATAACTGATTTGGCTGTTCCTGGGTCAGGAACTTCTCAACCTCACTCCCAACCAGTGGGAATCCTGCACAGTCTCCACACTCTTGTGGCTTTGGTGAATTCACCATGCCTTGCTCACACACTTTCAGGCTAGTTTCCTAGCAACAAGGACTAGAATCTTGCTTTTTTATTTTTTGAGTGGGGGGAAATAGAAATTCTCTGGAAAGTGAATACCTGAAATCACAGCATCCAGACAGGAGTATTGGAGCCCATAAAGATCAGAAGACAATGTACGTAACATTTAATTCATCTAATAAGGGGACCTCACTGCAGGCTAAGCCTTTGACGATAAATGGCAGCGCGGCCTGACCGGTGATTCAAAACCAATCACACTTTTTTCAAGGAATATGGAAATAGCACCCAGCTCTTCAGCTCACGGTACATATTTAACTTGAAGGTTGTGGTTTGCAGTGTGTGTGTGTGTGTGTAGGGGGGAAGAACCGCGCCCCGCAAGAGGCACAGATGACAT